AAAAGTCCATCTCTTTATATTCATCCACCTCTTTACTTGAGTCTTGATTACTCTCATTGGTGGATTTGAAGGCGATTCCAACCGACTTCTTTTTCTTGTTATTCTCTTCTTCTTCTTCCTTCTTTCTTTGGAGCTTCTCCTCATTAGTGAGTAAAGAACCGATGAGCTCATCGAGGGTGTATAACTTCAAATCCTTGGCTTCTTCGATGGCATTTGCTTTACCTTCTCATGATGCAAGTAAAGAGGAAAACATATTTCTCACCATTTCTTCATTGGGATAGACCTTTCCAAAGTTCTTCAAGTCATTGATGATCATGGTAAACCGATCAGACATTGTCTTGATATCTTCATATAACTTCATCTTAAGTTCTCATAGTTGAGAGTGAGGATGCCAATCTTTGACTTCTTCAATTGGCTTGTTCCTTCATGGGTCACCTCCAATTTATCCCAAATCTCCTTAGCATTAGAGCATGAAGATACTCTACTATACTCGTCCTGGTTAAGAGCAAAAAAGATGATGTGCATGGCTTTGACATTGAGTCGGGCAAGCTTCATGTTCTCACTTGTCCTCTCTTTTCGATTTCTTGGAGGCATAGGAGAACCGTCGACAATGGCATCCTAAACTGCAAGGTCCATGTATTGGATGAACAACATCATCCTATTTTTCCAATACGAATAATTTGCTTTATTGAAGTAGGGTGGTCTATAGATGGAGTGAGAAACCTCAAGGTAGCATTGGTTTGATATGGAAGTCATCTTCTCTATTGCTTCGGGAATTTGATAGAGAGCTTCAAGGATCTTCACAAGGTTGTGAAACTGAAGATGTTGCCTTTCTAAAAATGAAAAGTTTCCATAGTTGGGGGTTTAACTTAACTTGTTTAGAAAGTGTCAAAAATTATGTATAGGTCCTCAAATTTTTATTGCTTTTAGAATTTGATCTGAATTTAATTAAAAATTCACTTTGGTCCCTAAATTTAACTAAAATTTCAACTTAATCCCAAAATTAATTTTAAAAAATTAGACCCTAATTTGGGGTGTGGTAAGTGCATTCAATTTAGGAATTAAGGTTTGTAGGATCGAGTCATTCATTTCTGAACAACTTCCCAGTGGGTCACCCATCCCTGGATTTCCCTGGTCCAAGCACGTTTAACTACAGAATTATGAAGCGAATGATCACCATTCCTTCTTAAAACCAATTGGTGATAAGTAGGTGGGCCATTTTAACCTCATATCTTTGTAGTGGGTGATCACTAGGTTCCCCCAAGCCAAGGTGGATTCTTGCGGGGCACCCCCCACAGTTCACCACAGCATTGCAGAGCCTCGCATCTATAGCGTGTTGCGAGCGGGCCTAGGGGCTTCGCAAGGCACACATGGGCCTCGGCAGGTTGGACAGTCACGTACCGATATCGCGCCCATACACGATAGAATCCCTAAGGGTAATCGCTGGACCCCATAACCCAACAATCACTCCCCCAACGACACCTGGGGGATTCGAACCTGCAACATGCTCTGATACCAATTGTAGAGTTAATCGATTGATGGAATCGGCCAAGAGGGGGTGAATTGGTAATTAAAATTTTGGTGGAAGCTTTTGCAAAAAAATTGAAAGAAATTTCATAACGATTTAGAGTGGTTCGACTTTCTCAACCAAAGTCTACGTCCACTACCTTAGCTATCCACACTAAGGATTTTCCAACAAATTCACTAATTTTTTCTTTCTTTTGAGGCCATAGAGATAACCTTACAACTCCCTCAAGAATATACCCCAATTCTTGAGAACACTCTTTCTCAAAGAGAAGATTACAAATTTGCAAACTTACAAGGAAATCCTCACAAGGTAGATTGTTTGCACAATTCTAGAATAAAGAAAAGAACACTAAAAAATGAATACAATTGAGTACAAGTAGTGTTATTGAAAGCAAAATGAATATTGAATGAAAAATAGGTTTGAAATGCTCAAACTTGAGGTTTGATGCTTTCTCTTTGATTCTCTCTTGATTCTTGTTGATTGTTGTTTTTTTTGTTGATCAATGACTTTTAAGCTTGTTTAAATACATCTTCAAATGATTCTTAATGTTGGAGATGATTAGTGGAGTCAATAGAGCCGTTTAAGAGTGAAAACAATTAATTAAAGCAGTTGGGAGCGTCAGTGCATCAATGGATACCCTAGGTGCATCGGTGCATCAGTGTAAATTCAAATATTTTGACCGTTGGAGTCTCAGTGCATCAGTGCACTAAGAGTGCATCGATGCATAAAATGCATTCGATGTTTTGAAAAAGCCTGAGTGCATCGATGCATAGTCTTGTGCATCGATGCATGGTATGTGCATCGATGCATAAAATGCATTCGATGTTTGAAAAATTATTTGGTGCATCGATGCATGGATTTGTGCATCGGTGCATCACTTTGAAAAATTGATTTTAGGCTTTATTTTGGTTCAAACTACTTTGTGAAAATTGTTTCAAAAATAATTTAAGTATAAAACACAATTTTACACATTTAGTAAGGTTTGAAATTGATCTTGAAAGACTTGGAGTAATAATTTGATATTCGAGTAATTAAATCGAATATACTTTGTGAAATCTTAAAATTCATTTAATTTAATTTGTTATATCGAAACATCAAAATGTTTTCAACAATAGATTTTCGATTTTTTTTACAACCTTGTTTATATTTTCGAGTCTTTTTGATTTAACAAAAAGGGTGAGAAATGTTAAGTGTTACAATATTTTAAAGGGGAGAAGTGTTATAGTAAGGGGGAGTAGTAATTTCAAAATTAATTTTAAACTTGATTTTTCAAAGAAAATCTTAAAATTACACAAATGTTTTGTTATATCAAAAAGGGGGAGATTGTTGAAAACATTTTGATGTTTCGATATAACAAATTAAATTAAATGAATTTTAAGATTTCACAAAGTATATTCGATTTAATTAATCGAATATCAAATTATTACTCCAAGTCTTTCAAGATCAATTTCAAACCTTACTAAATGTGTAAAATTGTGTTTTATACTTAAACTATTTTTAAACAATTTTCACAAGATATTTTGAACCAAAATCAAGCCTAAAATCAAATTTTCAAAGTGATGCACCGATGCATCAATCTATGCATCGATGCACCAATCCATGCATCGATGCACCAATTAATTTTTCAAACATCGAATGCATTTTATGCATCGATGCACATACCATGCATCGATGCACTCAGTGCATTTGATGCATCGATGCACAAGACTATGCAACGATGCACTCAGGCTTTTTCAAAACATCGAATGCATTTTATGCATCGATGCACTCTTAGTGCACCGATGCACTGAGAGTCCAACGGTCAAAATATTTGAATTTTACACTGATGCACCGATGCACCGATGCACCTAGGGTGTGCATCGTGCACTAAAGCTCCCAACTGCTTTAATTAATTGTTTTCACACTTAAACGCTCTATTGACTCCACTAATCATCCCCAACGTTCAGAATAATTTGAAGGTGTATTTAAACAAGCTTAGAAGCCACTGATCAACAAAAAAAAAACAACAATCAACAAGAATCAAGAGAGAATCAAAGAGAAAGCATCAAACCTCAAGTTTGAGCATTTCAAGCCTATTTTTCATTCAATATTCATTTTGCTTTCAAGAACACTACTTGTACTCAATTGTATTCATTTTTAGTGTTCTTTTCTTTGTTCTAGAATTGTGCAAACAATCTACCTTGTGAGGATTTTCTTGTAAGTTTGCAAATTTGTAATTTTCTCTTTGAGAAAGAGTGTTCTCAAGAATTGAGGTATATTCTTGAGGGAGTTGTAAGGTTATCTCTTTGGCCTCAAAAGAAAGAACAAATTAGTGAATTTGTTGGAAAATCCTTAGTGTGGATAGATAAGGTAGTGGACTCAAACTTTGGTTGAGAAAGTCGAACTACTCTAAATCGCTGTGCAATTTCTTTCAATTTTCTGCAAAAGCTTCCACCAAAATTTTAATTGCCAATTCACCCCCTCTTGGCCGATTCCATCAATCGATTAACTCAACAGGGTTCTATAGTTGGCCTAATTATAAAATTAGATTTAGGATTATGGTTAGGGTTTATGAATTAGCGGATTAGGAGAACGCGAAAATTGATGGTGGTCGTCGTACACGGGGAGCTGTGACCACTACCTGTGAAGGTGACGACTTTCAGTGAGGTAGCACCAGCCGGTGATGACTCGGACGGTCGCCCAAGTCCAAACAAAACTAAAGAAACTTACCTTACCGAATTGGTTGCGCGAACGACGAGAAACGACATCCACGTGGGAAGGGAGGATCGACAATGACTATGTCACCGGTGGAAGAGGCTAACGGCAGCGACGGTGATGACTTCAATGGCAAGGAAAAAATATTTAGAATTTTTTTATTTAGAGGTTGGTATTTGATCCAATTACTGTTAAAAAGATTATGGAAAATAATGTAATTATTATTTTATTTTAAATAATTTACCTTTATATTTTTAATTAATTTATAATTATAAGTTGAGTCCTTTATAATTTTATATTTTTATATATTAAATTAATGATACTCAACGATTAGTGATACTCAAATATACTGGTCGAACGCGGTAAAATTTTTCAAGTTTTTATTACGACTGTATCATCTAAAAGTCAGTGGATAAACAAAATAAAGGAATACATAAAGCAACAATAGAAACAAACTAACGAAATATATAAAACAACATTACGCAACCAAAACTGTATGACAGGACGAAAATGAGAGAGGTAGCTGTGATTAAAACCATAACGGCATTTTAATGTTGAAAGACAACTATAGTTTAAACTGTCCTAAGAAAATGGCTGGACAAATCTAACATAAACCAATAACTTTATTCTCAAATTCTTTCAACTTCTCTAATAATAAAAAATAGTCCCAAGTTTAGTATTACTTTTTTTTATCTTTCGCAATTTGCTAGGGTTTACATTTTTCCTTCTCAAAAGCTAAAATAATAATAATTTTTTTTCTTTCTTATGAGATGTTTTTTATTCAAAACATGGAACCAAATCAAACTTAATTAACTCGATTCTCTTCTTTCTCGTTGTCGTTGTTGCCGTTGCTACTACCATCATCGTTCGATGGGAAGTTGCATATCGGCACCAAAAAAACTAGTAGGTATAATATCAAAGAAAGATCATTATAGTTACAAACCTAAACCAAGACCCAAATCGAAACATGCACGTTTTGGCCCCGAACGTATACGGAGATCGTTAAACTTACGTAATAGGGTTTTGAAGGATTCATCGGGAAGCAACATCTCAGGAAGGTATAAGATCAGAGAAGAGCTAGGGAGAGGCGAGTTCGGGGTCACGAGCAAATGTTTCGATTTGAAAACCGGGGAGCCTTACGCGTGCAAGAAGATATCGAAGGCGAGACTGCGGACGGAGATCGACATCGAAGATGTAAGGAGAGAAGTTGAGATCATGAAACATTTGCCTAAGCATCCGAACATTGTGGCCTTTAGGGAAGCCTTTGAAGATAAAGAAGCTGTATATCTTGTAATGGAGCTTTGCCATGGCGGTGAACTCTTTGATAGAATCGTCGCTAAAGGTCATTACACGGAACGAGCCGCCGCTAGAGTTGTGAAAACCATTTGGAATCATAAAGGTAAATCAAACAATCAAACCCATTTTTCTAATTATTAGATATTTTATATTAAATTCCATATAAATATGCAGATAGTTTACGATCTATAATTTATATATATTTGTTGCAGGTATGCCATGAACATGGAGTGGTACATAGGGATTTAAAACCAGAGAATTTCCTGTTGGCGGATGAGAATGAAACTGCCTCTATAAAAGCAATTGATTTTGGCCTTTCCATTTTCTATAAACCTGGTAAGCTTATATGAACCCTATTTGTATAATATCGAACTTAATATTGATTTATTCGATAGGTTCAATTAAGAAATAAAAAGAAAATTGTTAAACTAGACTATATAATAAAATAAAATCGAAATGAAACAAAATCAAATCGAGTAAATGATCAGGATTAAATGGCAGGTCAGCAGTTCAATGACATTGTTGGAAGTCCTTATTATATGGCTCCAGACGTTTTAAAAAGGAACTATGGCAAAGAAGTTGATATTTGGAGTGCTGGTGTTATCCTCTATATCTTGCTTTGTGGAGTTCCTCCCTTTTGGGCTGGTAATTATATATGTATATATATTATACTCGCATTTAAATTTTTAATTTTGATTCTGAATTTGAATAACATATAAAATGGAATTGCAGACAATGAAGAAGGCATTGCACAAGCAATAATAAGAGGAAAGATAGATTTTGAAAGGGATCCATGGCCTAAGGTTTCTGAGGAAGCAAAGGATCTTGTTAAGAGAATGCTCGACCCCAATCCTAGAACTCGGATAACCGTTCAACAGGTTTACGGTACGTTAGTCTCGTTTGTGATTACATCTTACATTGTCTGTAATTTTCATGTTAATGTCTAGTTTAGATGGTTCGTATTTGAGACGAGTTTATATGATGTTGGTTTTGCATGCTACTTAATGATGAAGAACATCCGTGGATACTAAACTTGGAACATGCTCGAAATGTGAATCTTGGAGAACACGTGAGAGCAAGGATTAAGCAATTCTCATTGATGAACAAGTTCAAGAAAGAAGTTCTTAGGGTTAGAATCCCATTCAACACCTTTCCTCTTTACTTTCTATGTTTAATATATATGCTTTGAAAACAAAATAATATGAGGGTCTTTCACTTCTGAAATTGAAAATCAATAAATCATCTAATTTAGCATATAAAATTAAATTGCTTTATTTTCGAACCGGTTAAATTGATTCAACTTGTAAAATATTAAAAAAATTATAGAACTAAGCTTCAATTTGGATGTAGGAAACAAATTAGGTGTAAAATATTTTTTTTTATGTAAAGCGGATATAAAAAGATTTTAGAGTGACAATTAAAAGAAGAGAATTCAGATTTAAGATGAGCACGTATCCACACACTAATGTGGCTCCGTCATTGGCCTTACAAAGCTTCATTTATGACCCGAGAAATGTTGAGACACACATATATTATTATTACAGGTCGTAGCGGACAACTTACCGGATGAACAAGTGGATTCAATCACGGAGATGTTTAATATGATGGATACTGATGAAAGCGGTAACTTGACGTTCGAGGAACTTAGAGACGGGCTTAAGAAAATCGGACATTCTCTCGATGATCCTGATGTTCAGATGTTAATGGAAGCAGTATGTTTATTTCTTCTTCTTTTCTTCTTTTTTTTTTCCCAAAAAATAATTAGAATATTATCTTAATGTTGTGAGAAAAAAATGAATATGTAAGCAGGCGGACATGGATGGAAACGGGATTCTGAGCCGGGATGAGTTTGTAATAATGGTGGTTCACCTGAAACGGATCGGAGGCAACAACGAGCTATTGTCTCAAGCCTTTACTGTGTTCGACAAGAACCGAAGTGGTTACATCGAACTGGAAGATCTGCAAGAAGCTTTATGCCACGACAACGTTCATCAACAGCTTATCAAAGACATCATGGCCGATGTCGATAAAGATAAGGCACATTCCCATCTTCCCCTTTAAATTGCACTTCTTTTTTCTGCCTTTTTTTTTTTATTATTTATTAACATTGGATTTGCTGTAATTTGAATGTGTAGGATGGACGAATCAGTTACGAAGAATTCAAGGCAATGATGGCAACAGGGACGGATTGGAAGATGGCTTCTCGACAATATTCCAGAGCTTTGCTAAATGCAGTCAGCATGAAAATATTAAGACAATCTGTTCAATTAAAGTGATATATATTGTATCGATGTAATATGGGAACTCAAACTTTGAGGTTTCACTCTCGATAAATACTCGGATCGAATGAACTCGACTCGAGCTCGAACTCGACTCGAGTTCGTAACGGGCTTAAACGAGCTATTCGATATTCGACTCGAAAAACTCGTGAGCAGCTCGAAAAAATATTATATTATAATTTTAGATTTTTTAAAATTACATTATTAAAAATATATTAAAAATACACTATGATAATTATAAAATTTTAAAAATATATTAAAAATTCTATAATACAAATACCCTCAAATTTTAATTTTTTTAATTAACCAAGTTCAATTGTTTCATTTTTAAAAGAAAAATAAAAGCACATATAATTAAGCACATGTTATTACACGTGTTTGATTGATTTTTTTCTTTCTTTTTTAACGTAGAAAAATAAAATAAAAAAATAAGAAAAAATAGCCAAACAATAGAAAAATTGAAAATGATTAAAAATTATTTTTAAATAAATATTCTTATATTTATTTTAAATTAATAAAAAATTATTTATCTAATGAAAAATATTTAATATATTTCTAATGATAATATTTTTAATTAACTAATTTTTTAAATTGTTGTTATATTTTGAGGTTTTAGGTTCAAATATCATAAATATCAAGGGTTTGAGCATTTAATATCAAGATACTATATTGTACTTACCTCATAAATCGGTACCAAATCGATTAATTAATATCTTTGTAATGAACCCTAAACCCTAAACCCATTTAGCACAATTCAGCAGTAGCAGTCGCCAAAAGGGGCTCTCTGCTTCATGCTGAAGCATTAATCCTACAGCGGTGCAGTACGTGAAAGGAGAACAAGGGTGTGTTATAAAGAAGAAGCAATTAGCATCATTACAACATACTTACCTGGGCGGGGTCAATGGTTTGAACTTGTTTCTCCAGTACTCATCTAGTACATATCACTTAAATAAATATTCTATTTTGAAAATAAATTTTTCAAAAAATATTAATGTCACGTAAATGTGTATTTGTCTTATGTGATAAAATAACTTTGATACCACAATTCATTAGTTGGTCTCATCTATCTACATGTCTTTATATAAACAAGTCTATAAATTGTATATATGTATTTTAAGAAAACTATGGAAAGTTTGAGACTATAACATTTAGGAAATTATTTGGTTGGTAAACTTCTTTTAATTCCACAAGTTAAATTATGAAGATCGTACGTTATTAGTTAATATTTTTTAAATAATTAAATAAAACACATGCTAATTTTTAATCCACTTGTATATTACATAATTTATAATTAATTTATCAAATGACAATCTAAATATTTTTTATTTAATTTAAGTTGATTATAAGATAATATATGTTTAAAATACTTTAATCATTTAACAATAAAAATTTAAATATTTTTATAAACAACATAATCAAACTTAAAATTTATAAATATAACAATAATTATTTAACTAACTTATTTAAAACATTTAATGAAATAAACGCGAAATATAAATGAATCACTTTAAATGCGGGGAAGAGATAAGAGTGCAAATTTGAGAGGGGAGAAGTGGGTGTGGGGTCACCATCAATGAGTCTTCCCGTTGGTCATTCCTTTTAGATGTCTGGAAATGTGGAAAATTTTGCCATAATTTGTTATCACACAATTTTCATACTTTGAAAGTTGAATCCCAGAAGAAATCTATATACTCATCTCCTCCCCCCAAATATATATATATACAGGAAAATTTTGGTAACATGTTTCTCCTTTCCCTTCTTCAACGGCAGTAGCATTTAAGGAGACCCTCCATTCATTTCTTTGAAGAACAATAAATTGGAGGATTTGTTTTACTTTTTTATAAATATTTTGGGGGGAGGAGTTCCCTAGAAGATGATAAGATGGTGGTGGGTTTCTGCTTTTCAATTAGTCGAGTTGTTTGTTAGCTCAATGGTTCATCTTTTATATGGGTTTTATGTATATAGCACTGTTGTTGCTGGGGACCTTCCTCAAGCTTTGAGTGATAGGATTTTCAAGTCTAATGCAAGTTTAGAGGTGAAAAGACAAGATCCCAGTAAAACCAACGTTGATGATCTCCCTCCTATTGTTTTGGTTATGGCATTTTTGGTTTTGGCAAAGGAGTATGTTCATCTTCTTCCTTTTGGTGTTCTTTTTTTTCCCTTTTTTTAAGTTTAAGCTGAATTTTATGATCTGATGTGGGTTACTTTTTTACAGAAATTTGGAAGTGTTTCATATTTTGTAGGGCTGAGAAGAAAGACGAGAGGGTCCTTGTGCCTGATTTGGGTTTTTGTAGAAATTTGGAAGTGTTTCCTTTTGTGTTTCATATCCCACATCGTTGAGATACTATAAGATGGCAGGATAAGCTATATATAAACAAGCGGGCTTGTGCAGTTGAAACATATTTTTCTTGGCTTCTTGGCTAAGATTTGAGCTTAATTTGAGCTTGATTCGAGCTTGATTCGAGCTTGATTCAAGCTTAAAATCGAGCTTTAATCGAGTTCGAGTCCCGAGTTTTAATTGATTTCTTGAATTTTTTTTGAGTTCTAGCCTTTTCGAGTTCGAGTCGAGTTTTAATATTATTTTGAGTTCGAGTCGAGCTTGATAATTTTAAGCTCGCGAGTTTTCGAGTCGAGCTTACTATAAATGGTTTCGAGTTTGAGTTGAGTTCAGCAATACTTGAGCTCGACTCGGCTCGTTTACACCCTAGTTTCACTGCAATATTTTATTTTATTTTTAAAATTCCCACGACATTAGAGCGGAATATTGTACATTTATAGGGGAAATTGTGAGGAATACATTTGAGTTTCCTTTTTCCTTTTATATATAAAAAAGATGTGTTAGACGTATTCAATGATTTTATGAAAAACTTCCAATTGTATATTTCTTTAAATTTCTCCACCAAGTGAAAGGGGAATGTTGTATGTTTACCATAGGGAAATGGTGAGAAGTTTCAGAGTTACTTGTACTATAAATTTATTTTTCTAACCTAAAATGTTTACATCATTTTGGGTTGGTGTTGGTGTTAACTTATATGTTATTATAGAATGATTTTGCTCTAATTATTTATCTGTTGCTCTTTTATCCATAGTTCTATAATTGTTAAATTTTAACATATATAATGTTGGATCCATCAAACGATTTATGATAAAAAATAGTATTGTTCTTCGTAGAAGTCCAGGTTTAAGTAGCTGAATCCAATAATGTGTGTACTATCAATAACTAAAAAGATATTAAATATTGTTAGTGTTTGACTCGAATTCAAAGTGTCACAAATTAATTAAAATAAATATTAGGAAAGTAGAAAACAAAAGTATAAAACTTTATTAAAGTTGATTTCTACTTTATTTAGTTTTCATTTGTAATCAAGTATATATCCCTATAAATAGATACTAAGGGTCAGGGTTAGATATCAAATTCTTTTCTTTCACCAAAATCCTCTTGTATTTTCTTCCTTCATATTAGTGAAATTCTTCTTCTCTGCCTGTGATTTTTTCCTTTTGGGTTTTCCACGTAAACCCTAGTGTTCTTTGTTTTTCCTTTTCTATCACGTTTATTTGTTTGTTGATAACCATCGTTTCGATATTATAACATATATATTACTATATAATCACATACTACTAAAAAAGTTAATGTATTGTTGATAGAATGTTAATTCAATTTAAAATATAATTTTTATCACATAATCTGTCATTATTATTAAATATAATTGTTTTTTGTTTCAGTAGTAACGTTCGCAACACTTCTGTACTCATCCTCCATAGTCAACCTGGAAACTGACTTTTGTTTCCTAGAGTTCCACATCACAAGATTATCACCTACAAACACACAATAGCCAGAGATAAACTTATGGTCGTCAGTGTTTGCAGCCCAATCAGCATCAACAGAGGCTACAACATTGAACCCTGCCACTGTATGTGCTATGATCAAGCCATGATTAATCGTTCCCACCAAGTACCTCAAAATCCTTTAATTGCAACAAGTTGTTCTAGTCTTGGAGCATGCATGTACTATGCTACCTTATTAACACTAAATGCAATGTCTGGACGAGTGTGACATGCATATAACGATGCACCTACAATGCTTCAACACTCATAGGCATTATGAAGCAACACCCCTTTACCTTGACTCAACTTAGAAGACACAAGCATGGTGTAGATGTAGGATTGACAATACTCATTTTTGTCTTCATCAACAGCTCTAGGATAAACTTCCTTTGGCTAAGAATTAATGAACAACCATAACGCTTAACTTCTATGCCCAGAAAATAATGTAGATCACCAAGATCTTTCAAGGCAAACTCACTCCCAAGAAGCCTCACTACTTCTTCAATCTGTCTGTTGGAGCTTCCAATCAACACTATATCATCAACATACACAAGTATGTAAACACATTGACCGTCTACCCAATGAACAAACAACGACGTATCTGCTGAAGGTTCTTTAAACCCAATCTTAATTAGACAATTCTTCAGTTTATCATGCCAGTTTCGAGGAGCTTGGCGTAAACCATAAAACGCCTTTTTAACCAGCACACGAATGGACTACCATTAGCAGCTACTTCCTCAAACCCAGGTGGCTGTTGCATGAACACCTCTTTATGCAAATCATCATACATGAATGCATTGTTTACGTCCACCTGGCGCAACTGCCAACCATTCGTAACACCTAATGAAAGGATAACATTCAATGTTGCAAATCTGACAACCGGACTGAATGTTTCACCAAAATCATGTCCTGACACTTGAGAAAACCCTTTAGCTACTAACCTAGCTTTATACCTGTTAATTGAGCCATCAGGGTTCTTTCAATTTGAACATCCATTTACACCCAACCACTGACCGTCCTTCAGGTAGTTTCACTAGGTCCATGTACCATTCTTTCTTAAAGCTTCAACCTCTGCATGCATTGCTACTCTCCATTGGAGAGACTGAAGTGCTTCATAAACATTCAGAGGTTTATATCATCATAGCTAGCCAATTACAATTTAGGCTTAAATATTCTATACTTACTTCTTGTC